TTTCACTAGAAAGTGGATAAGAGTTAATATGACTAACTAGGATACACATAATATAGTGGGTTAATTATTATTATGATAGTTTACAGATTTCCGTGAACAGTCATAATCTCCAGGCAGTTGCGTGTTCATGCGAGCTTGCCTGACATTCACCGGTGCCATTGTAAAAGTGGAATTTTTTTTGACTGCACCCGGTTTTGTGAATACATTTTCCCTCATGCTGCTGCACTGTGACCAGAGGATGTGTAGGAAAAAAAATACAGGGCCTGAGGTTACTGCACGTCCAGGAATGTTCATGCACAGGGACTCGCTGTTTTACCTGACTGGGACTAACCTACAAGCAGCCGGCCTGCTGAAGCCCCCCTGCAGCGGTGAATGATCAGCTCATCAACGCTGGATTCCCCCCCGGAGCACAGTACCCATTTGTTTTGACTGCTTGCGGCCAGTGTGTCTGCCGCATGTTATGTGATACAGGTTAATGAGAGGATTCCAACAATCCATGATGTTATTGTTGGTGCTACGCTACTTGTTGGAATTAATTTCACTACTTTGGGAATATGTGGTTGCGTGAGGGAAGACGCAGTGACCACTGGTTGGATTTACTGACCTTTGAGCTCCTTGAAAGGGAATTATGTTTGCACTACTCAGTGGGACTTAACAGTAAGTTTAAAAAAAAGAAAAGAAAAAAAAAATCATTTTGCACGTCTGTTAATGCCTTGTTTCTGTAACTTTAGAGAGAATTGCCATAAGGCTGGAGAAATTACTATGCTTGCATTATTCTAGTTAAAATATGGGGTTTTTCAATTACCCGCTTTGTTTGGAGTGTTACACATCTCTTTTCATTGGTACATATACAGTTGTTCACCAATCTATGGAGGAGAAATTCACATTCATTAATACTATTGCAGTTCGTCCTGCTGTCCACTTTCATATTCGAGCTCAAACATTTCAGGTAGGATTTGAGGTATTGTCATTGTCAAAAACGTAGCTTATTTGTCAGTGTTTTTTGTTCCCCCTTCGAGATGTGTTTCCCCTGTTCAAAACTTGGTTTCATGTAGCACCCCCCTCAGTGGTTGTGGTTAGGATAATTTTAGGATTCAGGTTAAGGAAAATGCATCTCTATGGGGACACGGATTTCAACAACACTAGCAACAGGAGCTGTGCGCGTTCACGAACTATCGTCTCATTTTTAGAAAAAGGTTCTCAGGTTTTATTGTTCTGAAATAATTACAGACTATTTGGTTATGAGATGTGTTTTACAGCTAATCTAGAGGGACCTAAGATTAAACACTAAATGGCTGGAAATGAGCATGCCATGGGCTCTTTAACGTTAATGCTTCTATAATACATTAACCATGTCTTTAGCCTGAGGGAAATCAAACACTGATTTACATATAGCACAATATTTGACCTCGCGATGTCATCCAGGTGATAGCACATACCCCAGGGTTGATGCTGGGACTCGCCCCATTCTTGCCTCTGGCCCTGCCACGTCCAGCTCTACCTGACAGACCAGCCCCTCTGGGCCTCCTCCTTCCAGGGAAGCCTGAACCTCGACCCTGTGGAAGCAAGACAAAGACCATACCAGACAATGACCACTTCCCATCTGACTAACTAACTAAAATGGGCAGACACAAGCTTCATCTGTGTACAGAGCTTTGTTTCTCTCTTGCACACACTGTATAGTTCAAGTCATGGTTGGATTCAGTGGATCATCAGAAAAGATTTGAAAGCTTGCCATGGGGAACCTTTTACTCCTCCCATTTCAAGCTTGTAGGACTGTTTATGTTCTTACACAACAGCAAGCGCACTGCTCATTCAGCTTTAGAAATGTCATTCTGTCGTGCTGTTTAAATGCACTGCAGGTTGCTACTGTTAGTGATTTACCTAAAAATTCTTCTAGTTATTTTATTCAATGCTGTCTATTAATTTTAAAAAACATTTAAAAGCACCAGACATTTTTGCTTTTTAGAACCAACATTAGAAAATTATGAAAATGCTCAAGTAAAAGAAAAAAAAAAATCCATGAATCAGAATTTTGGCATTTTAATAGTTCATGGAAATGGCCATTATTTGAGAGAAAGACCACCATTTCTGCCAAGCAATCGGCAAGTGAGAGAGGGCCTCTGAGCTGTTGTTCCAGCAATGCAAGTTTGACTATGCCTTTGGCATTCTTCTGACAGGAGGCCTCTGCCTAATCATGACTGTCAACTTAAGTCTAACTGAACCTTCCACACCTGCCCCAGAGTCCCTTGTCATTTACACCACATTTGGATCTGATCCCAAAATGAGGCTCCCCTGACAAACACACTGTAGAGTGGTGTTTAGCATGGACTGGACCCCTACCACCATGTACAAATGAATCCTACCAAGGTTTGCTTAGAGTAATGACTATCACCATAGCAACCAATTGCCACAGATTTTTCAGCAAGTCAAAATCAAAGAAAAGAAAAATATTATCAAATACATAAAAAGGGTTGAATGCCAAAGAGGCAAATGGGCACATACAGTACATTCATTCATTAAAGATTATTACCCAAATATTCATGTAGACTGCACAATGTCTTGTTACACCACACCCATGACCTCTCAATTCAGCTACAAAGCCAGCAAAACCCATCATCAATAACCTTATCTTTCAGTTCTTTCTAAATTCATTAGCTTAGCCTGTGATTTCTCAATATCCTCCTCTCACTGCGAGGTGGCGGTTGCATCACAGAGACATTCAGGGACACTCATGGAGCGTACATCACTAGGGTAAACAGAGGGCTAATAGAGGGCAGCTGCTGCCCTCCTGTCTCTGGTGAGCCAGGGTATTTACCACTCTGATGCTCCAGCCGGGGCTGCCAGAGGACTGCCTGGTCTTTGGGATGTCCCACCCCTCTGGCTGGTCTGGCGACCAGGACAAGGGGGAGCTCACACTGCTATGGGGACTCCATGCACCCTAAGGTAAGGGGAGGGTGGGTGAGAGAGTGAGAGAGAGGAAGGGAGGGAGGGAGGGAGGAGGGTGACAAAATGCAGCAACTTAAAAACAAGGCCAGCGAGGAAATAAAACAAAGAAAGATGTTAGAGATGTAGTGAGCTTCAAATGTAGCCATTTGTGAACTGTTCAGTACACACCCATGTATGCAATGCTATAGTATGAAAGAACATCAAATGTGCTAAAATATGATACAGTTTAAGTTATTAGGTTGCATTCTGTGTTAAAGCCAATCCTTGGGGTTTTCATGCATATGACTCAATAGAGGCATGTTTCTAATAGACTATAAAGGCAAAACTAACAAGCACAATTGTGTTAGTTGCATTTCACATAGCAGAAGGCCATCACGCCACCATGCAGCAGGAAGAGAGGCCCTGGAACCTCTTGCCATGACAACTGTGTACGTTTGGCATGTTGACAAAACAAAGGCAGTTGCGTCAGCACAGCAGCACGTGAATGCATCAGACAAAAGCATGCTGGACTAAAGAGGAGCAATGATCAAATTTCTGAAAACGATTTCCCCAGGCATTGCGTAATGAGCCAATTTGAGTCGTATGTTTATTTAAGAAATGATGCATCTGGGGAAAACTTTTTTTTTTTTTTACAAAATAAATTAGTCCACCCTCACCAGCATCATTCATTATATATTATAGCCATGGGTGTGATTCAATTTCCATTATTATTTTTTGAGAGAGCCTCTATTCAGTGTCAGTGACAGTCTATTTCATTTAATGGGTTTTAATGACACTGAGCCATTAATATTAATAGTTTTTTTTTTCAGAGCCACAAGTGACCGAGTGCAACTGATGGTGTAATATGGAGACAACTAAGACATGGTAATGGTCAGTATAATTTGTGATTGGATGAATACTGCTCCTTAAAGAACAATAAACTGGTGCATGTTAGTGACAATGACATGAAATGGAGAGAGACTGATGACACTACTGTGAGGGAATATGGTGAGGACTGTCAGTAAACTGTTTGCCATAAGAAACAAAAATACAATTCCCACCAGAAACAATACTTCAACTAAGCGCTGTATGTGAAGAACTACTTATGGCGCATAAATTAGGAAAGGGGGCACAGGGAGTTGAGAGAACACTTCATTCGCTATGCTGTGCTCCTGCTATGCTAGGACACAGTAATGCAAGATAACTTGACTGAGAAAATAATTTAAAAAAATATATAATTGGAAAAAAAAGCTGCCTCAACCAACACACTGCCATCAAAACACCTAATCCACTTTCATAAAGCAGAGCTTACACAACGCATATGTCATTAAGGACAACACATGGTATGAGCACCAATTATTAGCCTTGACTCCAAGAGTAGACCAGTGAATAAGACAGATTCAGCGCAAGTGATCACGATCAACTTGTTCGTTTAACTGAAGAAGTGGCTGAAATGTCCCAGAGACAACAATCAATGATGGAAACACCTGGCCCCAGCCCAAACTCATTTCCTCTACCTGGACTCACTGTAACATCCCATCTCAATGAAACCAAGCCTATTCCTCTCCAGCAGAGGGAGACACAATACTCTGAAGTGTATGATTATACTCTAGGATCCTACAACCAAAGAAAAACTGAAGATTATGACTCTGAAGATGAACACACAGGAGGATTAAAAGTTGTGCAAGATAAACCAGAGACATGGCTGCCTCCTACATGTCATACTATGGAAGGAGTAATTAAAAAAACACATCAGTGATTCTTTGTGGCATGATATCCAGGTTCCTACCTGTTTCACCCGTGGCCTTCCAGGTGAAAACTTCCTCTTGCTGATGGCTGGCTTTCCCATTCCAATCTTTGGGGTGAGTGGTATGAGGGTAGTGGTGGGGATCATACTGCTGTGGTCACCCAGGGAAGGTAGGATCTGGGTTTGAAGCAGTTCTTTTGGAGATGTCCCTCGAGCAAGAGGGGAAGAGTGGGAAGGAGGGGAAACCATTTCAGACAACCTTTCAATAGATGGCTTAAGGGGTTTCTCCTCTGAAGACATGCTGGAACATGACAGATTAGTTTTGCTCTCCAGCATAGTGTCCATTGCCTCTGGTGTACTAGAGGTTGAAGGCATAACAGTCTCTGACAGGTTCCTGTAAAAAATGCCCTCCCTCCTCTCCTTAAGTTCTTTTGGAGCAGTTTCCAGAAAAGAAGCCCTGACTATATCCATACTCGAAGGCTGGGGTAGTGAGACTTCCGCTGGTTGGTCCGTGAAAGGTACCGACAGAGTACTTGGTTCTTTGGTGGTTGAGATGATGGCCTTACAATCCATTGTGCTTGGGGTGGTCATGCCCTGCTCAGGGCAGACCTCTGTCTTTGCTGGTTTGATTTGTAACATAATGTCTTGTGTCTGTAGTGTCCCCACAGAGAGCTGGGCTGGAAAAGCCTCAGACTCCTTACTCTGAGTCACTGATGATGCAGGACCCTCTGTAGGTATGAGCTGGGTTCTTACTGCTGGTTTTGTTTCTGTAGTGGAAGTGGAAAGCAATATAATGTTAAGTTAGTGGATTTCAAGTGATTAACATCGCTAAAGACATGTTAATGTCATTCATGTAAATGACACAAGAGTATGGCAGAGACTCCATGTTGCCATTACCTTGTCTAATAGTACACAATATTTACACAGCATTTTAAGTGTGAATAAACTGTGAGCATTACATTTAACACAAACTTTACAACAGTATTCATTGTTAAATAATGCAAATCATTGTGAGGTTCCACAATGCAGATTAATTACTAAATAAATAGGACATGTGTACAAACCTGGTTTGATTTCTGTTGCGACTTTGCTGTCAGAAGATTCAGCAACCTGATTCTGGACATCTGATCCCACTGAGACTTCTAAAAGAAAGTAGGAAAGAAAGAGTAATTGAAAAAGATTATATAAAGTACATGAATGCATGTATGTTAATAAAAAAAAAAAAAAAGTCTGGGAAAACGTCAACACATTGAGATAAATAGGTAAGGCAGTGGTTCTCAAAGTTCGGGGCGCGCCCCACTAGTGGGGAATAAAGACATGACAGGTGGGGCGTAATGAACAGAGAAAATTAGAAATGGGTCATTAATACAAGTAAATACGTTAATACACGTAAATTAAAAGAGAAAAAAGTGAAATCATAGTGCAACAATAACGGTTTGATGTCGGCATATTAACTGCCGCGCAACAATATAAGGTAACGTTCACATAGAGGTCCAATAGTGTACATAACGGGCATAATAACGTAAATGGATACATTTGTTACATGGACCACAAAAAAAAGCAGGCGATTCAGCGCAAGCAGACAAAAAAACAACAGGCAGTTAGCCTTATCAACCAAAAAGCCAGACGAAAAGAAAATATTGATGAAGGATTCACGGTGGGAATGCTGGGGGCAGAGGAGGGACCCGTGTGTGTCTTAAACCACTGGCAGCAGACAGCATGAGACCCAACCAATTAAGAAGACATTTAGAGATGTTAATAAACCACTCGACTTCTTTGAAAGAAAATTGGCAGAATACCGTTAGCAAAAAAAATCGCATGGTAAAATCCACATCAGTGAACAGCAAAGCACAAATGGCTTCCTTCAAAGTTGCATACAGAATTGCCCAGTGCAAAAAATAAAAATAAAAAAAAACACACAATTGCTGAGCAACTCATTCTCCCTGCTGCTGTAGACATGGAATCGATTATGCTGGATGAGACAAGTGCTGCAAAACTGAACTATCCCCCTGTCAAAAGATAAAATTGCACTTATATTTTATCTGTTTTGAACTTGGTGTTATTTGATATTAAAATAAATTTGAAATTTTAAAATCGTCCGATTTCATTATAATTTTTTGACAAGTGGGGCTTAAAAATTTGCCCACCCTCTTAAGTGGGGAATGACAAAAAATGTTTGAGAACCACTGAGGTAAGGGAATAAAAAGCAAAACCACAAACAAATGTTAGGCTTGGATGCCTGGCAGTCAAACTGGCACAAGGGAAAAAAACATCTGGGGTGGCTTCCCCTAGTGAAACCCCAGGTTTTTTTTTTTTTTTAAAAGGTTAGGTTATACGTGGGTGAACATTAATTCCAGTGTTAGGATTTAATTAACTGTTGCACCCTGAAAAGGAAATGACAGAAGTGTTACTGGAACGAGGTGGGGCGAGTAATAAACCGCACAATACAACAAGTCTTTTACCATAGGTTACATTTTGGTACTAATCTAGAGTCTCACACCCCAAAACCCACTTTGGTTTTGTAGTGCCTCCTTACCTCGTTCTCCATTTGGTTTTATATCAAAGACATCATTGCATTTGAGTAGTCTGGTATGAATAGAACTAGTCATTCCTGGCTATCAGGCATCCACACATCGAGCCAATCTTCTGCCAGACGGCCTCTGACAGTACAGATAGCCTAGTCTTAATGAGGCACCCACCATTTCAATCCACAAGTTCCCATGTCACACTGATCCTGACACACACATGCACCTGCTAAGCATCTCTGCCAGGGAAGGGAGTAACCATGACAACCAACATCCTAGGGTCTGTGAGCTCTGGGCACATGACTGTGCAGCTTGCAGGTGCTCATCCGGTGCCGATGCCAGAAAGTCAATTAGGAGATGGGCCTCCAACCATCTCCAGCCTTCAACTATTTACCAAGCTGAACATATTCCCATTCATAACAACACTCTGCTTCCTACATCCCCTACAGTGAAAAAAAAATGGTTTAGATAAATTCTTGGCTTTGATTAATGCAGCAGAGGCCTTAAGTCAGGTCTAACTTGCACTAACAAAATCTGCCAGCTGAGTCATGGTAAACCCGCTGTTAAACCCTGAGTGGTGGAGAATCCTGGCGGGTGATAAACAGCTTTGGTTAATGACTTTAATTACATGTGCAGGTGTACTGCCAGCATAGTCATGATCTCACATAAAGACAAAAAAAACAAGAGTTAATAAAAAATAATTAGCAAATATCTAAGCACATTATTAAATTGCATTCCCTTCTCTTATTTAGGGCAGGAATATTTAATGCACTGTAAAAATAAAATGAAAACTTTATCATTCATCTAATTTAAGATGTTTCAACCCATAGTCCCAAAAGATACCAGGGACCGAGAGCACCATGACATGTATTGAAAAAGAGGTAACGCCAGACTGGGTTATATTTTGAAATGCCTGACATACACCTCCAAAAGCTTCTCTTAAATCACAGACCACATGTATACTCAACACCTCTATAAACCACAGGAGGGGGGGGCATTGCCTTGCAAGTTAAATGATGAAGCAGTTCATGACCACAGGAAAAGGCAAGTAAAACATGTGCACATGCATATGGTAAGCAAGCAAGCTGTGTGAGCAGTCACAAATAAGGCAGCATAGCTCCAAGGCAGGTTGGCAGACAGGGAATCTTCATCACCGCCATTATGCTACTCCAACCCATTCTCTTCTGCCACTGCAGTCTGCTGTCCAGACATGAGTGGCAAAACTCACATACAATAAAGTGGAGATGCAGCCTTGAACTTCATATCAGCATGGGCAAGCTGAAATAATGGATAAAGGTTGTGAAGAATAAGGGGATAACAGAGGGATGGTGCTTCTGCTACTGAATGCCCTCTAGCTAGAGAATGCCCATTTAAAAAAAAAAAAAAAGATGCCAATGCTATGGTTCCTTTAAACAACAGTTGTTCCGTTCAGCCCAAGGTCTTTGGATCCCGAATCCAACCCAAACAAGCTTGTTATGTTTGGATTTTGCACCTCATCCCTGTTGCTAACAAGCATACACTCAACAGGATACAAGAGGATTATAAATAAATAAATATATAAAACTTAAGAAATTAATTTTACAACTTTCTTTTGGCAGACATGATCATAGTGCCTTAGTGACCTCACCCTCCATTAAGTAGCATTAGCTAGCCTGGTCTGATATTATAAAAACAAACTTGAACATGAAGATGATTTGCAGCAATATGAGCAGTCAACTTGAGCACCAATCTCTACCTCATGGTGCACTGTGTTTCACTTCAGCGTGCACTAAAGAAAATTGAAAAATAAGTGCACTCAAGTATCAAATTCTCATTCACACTGATGGGCAGCATAGAATACCTCCCCAGGTAACAGGAGGGAGAAACAAAGTACTTTCAATTTTTAAAACTGAAACTTACAAAGACAATGGAGTCTCTTTAATCTGCCACTAGTAAGATGCCATCTGTTGACTGTGGAGTCCTCAGAAACTCCTCCAAATAAAAGAGAGAGTGCTTCTCTTTGGTCCTAATCCAAACAACTCTCTCACCAATCCTTTCATCTGCAACAACTGCGACTTTCAAATCAGCACTGACACTACAGCCCAGTTTGGTGCTGCACAGCTGAAACTTTCAACTGATTCTGCATGGCTAGTGGTTGAATCAACGAACACTCATCTACAGAGATTGCCTTTCATTTTTCAATCATACAACCTGGTGCTTTGTGTATATCAGTTTCTATTTGTGTCAAGAGAGTTGCATTCCTTGGCTCGTCCTTGCAATAACAAGCCATGATTAATATGCTGATAAAACAGATTAGGTTGTCAGAAGGGACACTTGAGAATAGAGGAAAGGATTAAAAAGGACCAGGAAAAGAGCTCCGAGCAGTTATCTTCCTGCGTATAAATTAACCTTTTTGAAACAAAGACCCACCAGGCTCTGCAGCTGACATGGCCAGCTTCTCCTCCTGGATGGTAGCCTGAGCAGGCTCTGTATCTGAGTGCAATGGAACAGCAAATAATTCCGGTTTGGGGTCACTGTGCATTTCAGAAGGCAGCTGAGTGCCAGATTCTAGGTCCGTGTATGTTTGAGCGAGCTGTAGGCCAGTCTCAGAGTCTGTGTGCATGGAGGCTGGCTGAGGGCTGAGCTCTGGGCCCGTGTCCATATCCTCTGCCTGTAGTGCCTGCTCTGCAGCAGGAGTCCTGCAGTTGAAACAAACATAGTCCTCTCTGGAGTGGATTTCTGCTTGGCCTGAGTTCTGACGCTCGCACTCCAGGTGTAGCCATCTGAAAAGAGTGTAAAGGAATTTAAGGGATTGTTCGATAGGGATTTCTATGACATTTATCACTGTGGTTTTCCTAGTGTCCCATTAGTGCTACTAGTGAGAATCATTTTGCTAAAGGAAAAGGAATTAAAAAAAAAAAAAAAGGACAAACACAAGAGTGTTACATTCATTATTAGATATTAGAGTTATAACCAACCCTTTATTACCTTTTACAAGTCTGGCAGAATAGTAAGTCTTTTTGATGCTCAGGGTCCAGGATGCATGTACATGTAGGGCAGCACAGAGCAGGGTCCTGATTTTGGACACAGTTCTCACACAGGAGGCTTGTGTGGTGCCACTGCCCACTGGTTCGTGTTCCACACTGGATGCATACTCTGCAGTTCTGAGGAGCAAAGCAAGAGCTCTTACATGACATTCAAAGCCATTCAGATCCAATGCGGTACAAGACATGTTTCAGCTATACAGGTTCGGCACCTCAGTCATGGAATCGTAAACAAATACAGTTTATATTTAAGACACTTTTGGTGCAAGGTTTTTGAGGTAGAGCTGAGGAATATGATTAAAAATAACCATTGTTTTTTAGGCTTGATGAAAGGAATTTAAAGGAAGTCAATTTACTAATCAGAAACCATTGTTTTTTAGGCTTGATGAAAGAAATTTACAAGTCAATTTACTAATCAGAATCATTTAGAGTAATTGCTACTTAATAAATGTCATTACATTTACATACAACAGTACAACATTCTATTACTGAACATTAGTAAAACTAACAATTTTAGAAAGCTTTATAAATGGTGGCATCAAAACGATCCAATTTTGGCTTCATAGCTGCATGATAGGCATAATTTCACATCATTTCAAGCAGTGTTTCAAATGGCCAGCACTTAATACCAAAGAAAGCTGCCAATATTCCAAACATGGAGCATGTCTGTGAAACTTTCTTTCCTGCTCCATCTTCAACATTTTGTCCATTTTATTTTATATCGGTTTTCTGAATATATCACCAAACAAAAGTCCACTGAACAATTTAATTGGAAAGAGTTGTTAATTACAGAACTGCAGAGTAAATAAACAGTAGCCTGTACTGTACAAGCACTCTTCACACACTAAACATCCTAAGCCACTACAAAAATGAAACCACCACAAATAAAAAAAAAAATGAATAAAAAAACTTTGGTCTGGGCTATATTTGCTTAATGCACATTTTGTTTTTCTTATCTAGGGGCCACAGTTAAATAGGTTTATACATTTTCAATACAGGGCTACTTTGGGTTAAATATATTGTGAGCAGTTGTATTACAGTATGAATACAAAACTTGCAAACATAAAAACAAACATTGGATAGAGCTTGTTAAAAACTAAAGCAATCTCATTGGGAAGATATGAGAAAAGTTTATGGACACAGCTATATTTTGACCTTCTTGTGACTTGTGATAAAATAACTTAATTTTTTAAGATTATAGGAAAAAAAATGATATTCAACATAGGGATGGCCATTTCCAGTTTTTCCTTCTTATTTTTTATTTTATTTTTTCCCCAAAGGATAATTTATTTGGCCAAGTATGTTACACACAAGGAATTTGTTTCCAGTACAGAACCGAGGCAGCCATCTGCAGCGCCAACTCAACCGATGGCTCTAACCATCGGGGGCAACTTGGGGGTTCAGTGTCTTGCCCATGGACACTTCAACACGTGGACTGCAGGCACAGAGATTAGAAACCTCCGACCCTCTGGTTGGGAGACGACTGCTCTACCCACTGAACCACAGTCGCCCCCAAATATTTCTCAAAAAACATGGTCATAAAGCTTTGTCCATGAAAAGTGTACCAGGACTTACTTTCAGCAGTATAGAGCTTTTGCACTTCAGCAGACCTACTAGCCACTTAACCTGAGTAAGCTTTTTTTCACCCCCCCCTCAAGCACAACCTGTCATTCTGGTGCTCATTCATGATAAACAGCATCAAAAGAAACATGTCAGAGCTTTGAAACTGGAACAATGACTCATTTTTCACTGATCTCTACTTCGCTACTTCAGGGAGACAAATGCACTTATAGCTAAACCACCAAGTGAGCAGGGACAGGGGTTGGGGTCGAACACTTTCTAGAAGTAAATGCCAAGGATGTGCGTGGGTTGTGTTCCTCCTGTGCTGAGTCAGACAGAGAAGCAAAGTGCGAAGACCTTTCGTCACCCACTGCCTCTACTGCCATGGGTTCTTCTGATGACTACAAAAAAAAAATGGGTGGTGCGCTAACCAGCTGCCAGAGTGACAAGCACGCCATTTACGCTGCTGGAGGATGAAGGGCGGGGCTGCACTGAGAGATGCGTGTGATTAACATGCGCGCGCCTGTACATGCACATACACACCACGTTATCTTACGGCAGTGAGACTGAACTGAAGCCTTTAAAGAGCAGAGTGTGAGTCATTACTTAACCACAGGAAGCACAAATATAAACCACTAAAAAGCCATATTCTCATGGGTGTAGACATTTTACTTTGTGCCAGAATAAAGATTCGTATCAAGAATATTTTTCCATTGAAAATTTTGTATTGTTCACACTCCATGGGAATTCTGTATTTCAGTTTGCTAAAAAAAAAAAAAAAAAAATTACATCTGATGGAATGAATCTGGGCATCATTCAACTCATTTTTACACAAGAGACAAAAAAAAAAAAAAGCTCATTTTATATTTCTTAATAATAAGCCATCCAGCATTATACGAGATCTTTCCTACCTTACATCTCCACCCATTGGTGGGAAGAGAGTCCATAACAGGTTGCAGACAGAAGGTATGGTAGCCTTTGTCACACATGTCACACACCAGCATTTTACTGTCTTCTCCTGGGTTCCTACAAAAAGACAGCAAAGGCCGAATGAAAGGGGACAGCAAAGTACTTTCATTTACTGCAAAACACTATGAAGGAGTTACTTTATAGAGGTCACATTAGTGTTTTGTTTCTGTGGGTCTGTCATTTTTCCTTTCTTTGAACTGACCTGTTGTTTCTATAAATAATGAATCTCAGTTGCATGACAAATATTAATTCCACTAAAAGTAATGAATTAATAAACAGGTGAACCAGAATCTAGAGAGAACCAGCCTTTTCCTGTTGCAACTGTGCTTTTTTTGGTTGTTTGTTTTTCCAGGAAATGAAGAAACTGTTTGTGCACTTCTTGATATTATTTAAATATACTGCTCATAAAAAATAAAGGCAACACAAATAGTTCAATGTCTTATTTTTGTGTTCCCTTAATTTTTTTCAGCAGTGTACTATAATACTTTTGACAGACCAGCCTGAAGATGGTTCAAGACTGCCCACATTATTGACAAATACATACATTAGATATGACCTGCAGCAATGTGTTGGCAAGAACCTACAACACGTTGTTCCTCTGGAGGATGTTGAAGTGCCTTTTTGTACATTTAACTTGAAAGGTTTAATTTATTTTGTCAGTTACATTGTCCATGTCTTTGTTTCACATGGTGTTTCTGGTCTATAGGGCATACATATCCCTAAATTCAAATTGGGAAAAAAAAAAGTCAGTAACCTGCAAAAGAAACTCATTAGTGGGATATACCTGTAAACTATGAACTGCTTTTCTGTTGTGATACAGCCAGCAATGAAACTTTTTTTTCTTTTTACAGTTGATAAAGATGGCGAACGCAGCTTGTTTGCAGAATGAATAAAGACGTTGCTTGCTTGTTTGTTGTGCATCAAAATGGTAAACAGGAGATTGTACTGCCATGAATTTAACATATAGCAATGTTTGCTCGTGCAAACATTTTAGTATTATAATATATTAGTCAAACTGATACATGGGAGTTTGGTTCATGTAGCTATGTATCATGGTGTCATCACTAATTGGAGCTGGAAGCAAGTAAAGCAGAAGAATTGTTTGAAAAGGAGGAGAAAAAAAAAATCTAAAGGTATGTCATGCACCAGCAAAGATACGGGATCTGTGTTGTGAAACCTAAACAATGTGGAACCACTGACAACTTTCATCCATTACAGATTGTGACCATACATCATCAACACTTCTCACCTTAAAAAATATAGTGCAGTCATAATAAGAAGCAGTAATAACATGGATTATTGGGTTTTTCTATCTAAATATGGACCTAAATGTTCGATAGACAGTGTTCACCTAAGACAAAACAGGCCTGGATGTTAACTGAGCTCCTGTCCTTTTTAAATAAGGTCAGCGGTTACAAGACTGAGCTTCAGGGTACAAAATCCAGTTAGCTCCTCACAGACCTTAAAGGCGAACAAATCATGACTGGCAGGTATAGAGAAAATGTGTAGGAATAACAGTAAAAGAAGACAAAAACATTCAGTATGAGAGACATTTAAGGGTGAGAAGGTGACTCACTTGCATGTCTGGCAGACTTTGCACTCAGGGCACTGCCAACCGGCCCTCCTCAGAGGGGTCACGGCCATATCAAGGCACATCCCATGGTAATGTTGACCACAACTGGTGCAGAAAAGCTGGTCCAGTAAGTCCCCTGGGCTATCGCATAGTGCGCAATTTACATCACCTACAACTATGGTCAGGGAGGGGGTAGACAAAAAAAAAAAGGAAAATGAGGGACACAAACATATTTCAAACAGTACAGCTGATCAAAACATTTTACAATATTTTACCGCAAATTTTAAATACAATTTATTGAATCCAAATCTACTTAACTTACATTTCTGAATGGCCAGTTCAGTGTGTTCTGGGCAGAGGAGTGTAAGACTCCTGATATCCTGAAAGGTCCCAGCTGCCCCTGCGCAGGGGTAATGGTAGAGTTGAGCACATCCTTCAGCACAGCACTTAATGGAGGCTCCAAGGTGCTTACAGTATGCACAGTGCTGAAGGAAAGAGAGATCACAAAAAGTCTCAACTAAAATGCATCTTTTCCTTAAACACTGAAATAAAAACATTTTTAAAAATTAAAATAAAACATGCCTGCAGCACATTATATGACTCATCTTACATAAAGAAATTTATCATTTAATGGCTCTTTGGAAAAATAGCTGTCTGGTTTCTCAGCTCAGGACCAAAACTCCAGTTTAAACCTTGTTTCAGCCCCCTGGTGATCACATTGCTGACCACACCACATCCAGACCTGATTTCTCTCAGTTCTACGAGCGCTGGACATCAAGTGGAGGACTCGCTGATGGGCCGCACAGCAAACAGACTGCAAACGCATTCGGAGAGCTGCAAGCTGTGCAACCACTAATGGTAGGAGCTAAACTGCCATGAGAGCTCAGCCCTGTTGAGTGGCGTGACCTTTTCTATTTCACAGCTGAGAGATCCACGATGCTGGGCCGACCTTTACCAGCCAATCTGATTCATCAGCTGTCCTGTGCCTCACTGAAGCAATCCTTCCCTGCTGCCCAACACATCAAGATGGTGTTAAAACCTATTAGTCCACGGATGTTCTCCCCTGGCTCACCTTTGTGCTCCCTGAGTCAATGGCTCTGTCCACATTAAGCAGAGATTGTCCCTCGCCCTCGCAAACACCTTCGGACCACAAAGCACACCTCTGATGTGCCCAGTACTTCCCTGAAATTTTAAGATATGAAGGATGAGCATTTACTGATGGTACAGTCATGTTTAAATGTTAACACTCCCTTAAAAAGTGTCAAAAATTCTGGGTAAAAAGGAGAAAAAGGTTTAGTCTATTAGCTTTACCTGACTCAAAGAGAGACTGGACATTAAGATCTTGTGGAAGGCCAACATGAGAAAGCTCATCCCAAAATCGATTGGCTGGGTCTGGTTCTTCCTCGTAGCTTTCAGACCCACTGAAACAAAGAAAAAAGGTTTGCAAATAAACCAGGTCATTGCAGACAACAAACAACCAAAAAAAGGACAGCTAAAAGATCTGCCGCACCAGAGAACCATAGCTTGAATTGACTTAGAAATGAATTGAGAACAGAGACATAAAGGTAGCTGACAATGTGCAATTTTTACAAAAGCAGAGATATGAAGACAGAGAGAATGAGCTGGGGGATAAACGTTAGAGGAAATAAAAAGCTGTGGGGGAGGAGGGAGAGGAGGAGGAGGAAGAGGGCCATCTTGTCTGGCATGTACAGAAGGATGGCTGTTCTGTCTCATAAAATCTGTCGAAAAGGATGTTTCTCCGAGTCCTTGGCTTCAAACTAGTGAGCTTCATAGCATGCAGAAAATGTGGAGAAGGAACGTTAGCATTTAAAAAGGACCAAAGTTCCAGTAAACAAACCAACAGCCAAAATCAAGAAACTGATTTCTCGAAGCATGACACAAACATGATGAACAGCCTTGACAGCTCATTGTTTTGAGTTTTCTCACCAATCATGAAACAATCTTCTCCCACCTCCACAGCCTTCCCCTTAGTCAACCATCCCTGCTTCTGTGACAAATTCACTTACTGGTCTCCCTCCTCTGTCTTTGTGTGGCACACACCAAAGCTGGCCCCAACAACCAATCACACAGCAACATCATGACAGCTACTGGTTGGCTTGGTGTGCTGCCAGGCCCATCTTGCTCCTATTGCCCATTACGTCACTGGGAACCCAGATAGACACGTAATTGGTTCCAAAGGATCAAAACAAATTAGGCAGCTGTCCAAAAGAGTCCGAGGAGGGTCCTTTGTTGGCACGCTGTGCATGTATGTGAGCACTCCAGCGGATACACACACACACACACACACACACACACCTTGCTATAGTTGTGAGGTATCTCAGTAACACAATGAATTCCCTAGCCCCTTACCCTAACCATCACAACTAAATGCCTAACCTCAACCCTTCACCTAACCTAATTCTACCCTTAAACCTAAAACTAAGTTTTAAGTGAAGACTTGTCTGGCACCCCATAGCTGAGTGGTTATGGCACAGCACACCATGTACAACATCGACGGGTGGAGTCCGACCACTGACATTTGTCACAGGACTCCATACTCTCTCTCTCTCTCTGTCTCCCTTGCTCGCCTCTCAGCGATTCACTGTGAAATAAAGGCTAAAATCTCAAAAATATAACTTTAAACAAATAAAAATTGAGGACCTGCCAAAATGTCCTCACTCCCATAGTATAAATTTCAAACTAGTCCTCACACTTGTGGCAATACAAACACACACACACACACACACACACACACACGGTAAAGCCTTGTGTACACCCTTCACCTGATATGGCATCACTGAGTCTGGGGACACAGACTGACAGGATGACAACACAACTTTCTAACTGAGGGAGGCCCTTTGGCTTGTGTAGTCTCTGTATGTGTTGGTGTGCATATTTAAATGTGAATGTAGAATTGTGGGCATTTATTGACAAGTTCATTACCATTTTTAAATATAAAAGTCTCTTAAATCTTTTAAAAAGATTTAACAACGACTTAACAACGTTGTTGGTTATTTCCCCACCAGTGTTCAGCTTGTAGAGGAACTTGGGACAAGCAAAGAATCACTGAAGTGAATCCCTAAGAAAATTCTGATTACATGTAGCTGATTGTAGCGAGACATCACAGACTTTGCTATCCTGACCAACACCATCAGCCAGGCCTACTTACTTCGACTTTTCCCTCTGTCCTGAGGTGGTATCACTGGCCATTTTTGGCTGAGTATTTTTATCACCATCACTGCTATCGCTCGTCGAGCCTTCTCCACCCTTGTGGCTGAGGAGTGCTTCAAGCTGAGGCGTGGTGCTGAATACTTGCAGTTCCCCCTGACCCAGCAGGCTGCGGCCACCGCAGTAACAGAAGGCACAGAGATGCTCACTGAAACAAAGAAAATGGGTGACAGGGGATGTTTAATTATATATACCTACTGTGGCCTAATACAGTGCCATACATTTCACCATGAATTAAGGCCTCCTCCTTCTGACAGTGGGGTTGTCTGGTCAGCAACATACATTTCAACTCAATGCCTAAACTATCACTTTACTTCAATATCAGGAAATGTGTTTTGGAGACAGAGGTAAAGAGATAAAAACAGAATTGTAGTAAGAGCTTGAAAGTTAAGATGTAAAATGTGGGGTAAATATTTTTCACATTTTTAAGCAATGAGATGGCCTTGTTAATAAGATCCCAGGAGACGCTGCTGCTCTGACCTCTATTACCAACATCAATAGCAGAGACAAGCCAGAAGATTGATTACAACCTTTAAAGAGTGGCACCTGGGAGGAGAGCACTGCCTCCATCAGCTGATGACTCCATTTCAATCCATCCATACACAGCAAGGCACACAAGTCACATTGCTGGACACAGATGCACAACTGAATAATAGAGCTGCACCAGTTGATTGGTGGAGATCGGAAATGGCCTGTTTTAGCCTGTTCGGCCATAACCGGTGACCAGCCAATAACTCCAAGATATGTGATTCTGCGCCCGTCAGTCCACATCACACATGCAGCGGCACAGACCAAAAGGGCAGTGTGTACAGCACGTAGCATCTAGCATGCACCTCAAATGAGACTCTTGCATATTGGAAGTGCTTGGTGTAAGAAATCTGCTGCTGACTGTTTTGTTTTTTGTTTTTTGCCGGGATATCTGCTGCTGTTAGTCATTTGCAATACTGTCCATGTATACCTCATATGCTATTTGCACCTCATCACCAACACCCTGGTGATGCTGAACCATCTGACAATCTCATATTGTTGTTTTGCACTACTGTCACTGACTGTACTGTTTTGAGTCGCAGCTTATTGGCTGTACCGTTTAGATTTATCCTAGTTAGGTTCATCCAGTTCTTATTCTATTTTTATTCAATTTTAGTTCCTAAATGTTATGGCACCCAATACTAGGTGAGAGAGAAATGGTATTTTGATTTTCTGTATGTCCTGCACATATGGTGAATTGACAATAAAATCCTTTAACCTTGAAAAGAGCACAGAAGAGCCTAGAGAAACACCTTGGACAAGCAGAACTACATCCAAATCTCCAAATAGTTCACAATGAGAGAATTACTGGCTACACATGAAGTGCATGTATATGTACAGTGTATTGAAACCACGGTAAAACACAGCTAATACAAAACTGTACACAGGGGGTGTAAAAATATATTGATACACTTGAGTATTGCAATATTAGGTTGTGTAATAGAGTATAAATTCTCAAAAACACCATCAATTTTTAATTAATAGTTCACATGCCAAGTAATGCTATAATGTTGGATGTTACAGGGACTGTGACAAATGTAGATCCTGATTGCATAAAAGGTCAACTTTTTTTTTCTCAAATCAAAATCAAATCAATTTTATTTGTATAGCACCAAATCACAACAAAAGTCATCTCAGGACACTTTACAAAGTAAAGTCTAGACCTTACTGTTATCAATATTATTACATAGGGAAAACCCAACAAATCCCCCTTGAGCAAGCACTTGGTGACAGTGGGGAGGAAAAACTCCCTTTAACGGAAGAAACCTCCGACAGACCCCGGCTCTTGGTGGGCGGCCTTCTGCCTCGACCGGTTGAGGTGAGTGGATAGAGGAGACTCTTATGTATCTTTTACATAAGATTTTATGCATATGGTGCTTATTTTCTGATGGTTTTTCTAAAATTATTATTTTTTTATTTGCAATACATCGCCTTGTTTACACTATCGCAATATATCAAATCGTAACCCTGTATTGTGATAAGTATCATATTCTTGCCAATACACTATTGTACTATACACACACTACAAAAATAAACTTTATGCTCGATAGGACTGATGCAACAAACATTCTTCTTTCTATTATTCTGTTACCCATTGGACCCGTTTATATTTAGAGAATTTCAAATATCACACTTCATTTTTAGCTGGAGGTTTGTGAGACAAAGATGCAAAATATAAAGCTTTAGTACAATATTTTATTTTCATTAGTTAATTTTTATTTTAAAAAAGGTTACAAAAATGTCAACTACAGTCCTTAAAAAGGAGGTCAGGCTAAAAATGGAAGAAAAAACGCCAACAATCAGCTGTACTGAATACTACAGCTTGTAGATGTAGACATTAATGCGAACACCTGTTAATAAAAGAAAGAAGCACAAGGTTCTTAATTTCTCAAACAATTGCGGTTCAGGGATGTTTACTG